ATTCGAAATCTCTGATCTTTCATTCAAACACACAAGTCGTTTATAAAAAAGGAAAAGATCTTGCTTGCGTTTTGTTTTGTTTTGTTTTGTTTTTGTTTTGTTTTGTTTTTTGTATTTTAGTGGTCTCTAATATGAAACCAAACCTGAAATAAGGAAGCATGAGACTTGTTACAAATGGCAACTGCTTCAGCCTAATTTCCATGCACACAAATCGGATTTATCGACATTGGAAGTTGTTTTCAAACAGTCTTCAGTGTAAACAATTTGTTTTTAATGTAAAGAACGAAGAATACGCTGATATTGCTGTACGTAGAGATATTTTGACGCTTTACAGACACCATGTTGTACATGATGTGATTGTTTCAAGAAATCATCAAACTTTCACATTGACACAGTTGAAAAATCATCTGACCGAGATGACCTTAATGAATATTTTTGGAGCAAATGTCTCCAGCATTAAGTTTCCCGGTGTAATTGTTTATATTGTTCAGAATTAGGACTGGAAACTGAATATTACGTCATCGAATATTTTAAATGTCCCGGAGGTCCAATACCAACGATTTMTACTTAATCATTTGAWAATCATAGCCGTAGGAAATTTAAAGCAGTCATTTGAAATTATCGGCATTGACACTTTGCGCGCCTCGCCATAATTTCATATTACACAWTACAATATTTCATATTATTATCTACGTGCGCTATTTCTGGCTCTTGATTGATTTGTTCAAATGAGGTTTGAAGGAATCAAGAAACGAAACTTTCATGCGTTTTTCTTTTCTTTTTTCTTTCACTTTCAAAACAAAAATACGATCGCAAAGCATTCTGGGTGATACTATGTCTTTATCTTTCTAGAGAATGAGCCACAAAGACCTCCCATGCGATAAGTGGTAGCTTCTTCACATCTTTCATTTGAAAAGGGCGTAGGGTCCAAATTAAATTAAACTATCATGGTGTGATGTGTGTTTGCGAAACTTATTGAAACTCCCAGCACCTTTTAGCTTAACTAATTTGGCTTAGT